AGAGAGAGAGAGAGAGAAGAGAGAGAGAGAGAGAGAGAGAGAGAGAGAGAGAGAGAGAGAGAGAGAGAGAGAGAGAGAGAGAGAGAGAGAGAGAGAGAGAAGAGAGAGAGAGAGAGAGAGAGAGAGAGAGAGAAGAGAGAGAGAGAGAGAGAGAGAAGAGAGAGAGAGAGAGAGAGAGAGAGAGAGAGAGAGAGAGAGAGAGAGAGAGAGAGAGAGAGAGAGAGAGAGAGAGAGAGAGAGAGAGAGAGAGAGAGAGAGAGAGAGAGAGAGAGAGGAGAGAGAGAGAGGAGAGAGAGAGAGAGAGAGAGAGAGAGAGAGAGAGAGAGAGAGAGAGAGAGAGAGAAGAGAGAGAGAGAGAGAGAGAGAGAGAAGAGAGAGAGAGAGAGAGAGAGAGAGAGGAGAGAGAGAGAGAGAGAGAGAGAGAGAGAGAGAGAGAGATAATTAGATAGAAAAAGATTAATAAAGATAGATAGATAGAGAGAGAGAGAAATGTATTAAAAGAACTAGCAAGAGCAACCACATCACATCAGTAATCACGTAGACATAAACATAAAAAACGAAAAAATGAAAACGAGAGAAAAATCGAAATAAAAAAAAATCCCCCTAAAAAGACACACGAATGAAAGAGAAACGAAAACCAAATAAACAGCAATAAAAAAAAAAAAAAAAAAAAAAAAAAAAAAAACAAGAAGGAAAATCGTGAGCAAAAATAAACACACGAACGAATATGAGAAAAGGGCGAAGACGAGCGAAAAAAGGCGATCAGGTGAGAGGGAGCGACAGAGGGCGCCCTGTGAAGGAGTGACGAGTGTGAGACGCATCTAAATGAAGGAGGGAAGGAGGTGCAGGTGAAGGGAGAAAGGGAGAGAAAGGGAGGATAGGAAGGGGGAAAGGGAGAGGAAATAGGGGGAGGGAAGGAGGAAGGAGAAGAGGAGAGTAAGGGAGGGTAGGAGGGGGAAAGGGAGAAGAAAAAGAGAATAAAGGAGGATGGGAAGAAGGGAGAAAAGGAGAGTAAGGGAAGGTAGGAAGGGAAAGAGAGGAAAAAGGAGGGAGGGAGGGAGGGAGAAAAGGAGAGTAAGGGAGGGTAGAAAGGGAAAGGGAGAGGAAAAAAGAGGGAAGAAGGGAGGGAGGGAGAAAAAGTGAGAAAGGAGGGTAGGAGGGAAGAGGAAAATGAAAAAGTAGGGAGGGAGGGAGGGAGGAGAAGAAAAAAGAGGGGAGGGAGAAAGGAGAGAAAGGAGAGAGGTGAAGAAAACGGGAGAGAAAAGGAGAGCAGTGGGAAGGGGAGAAAGGGAGAGTAAGGGAGGGTAGGAAGGGGAAAAGAGAGGAAAAAGAAGAGAGAAAATGGTAAGGGAGAGGAAAGAGGGAGAGAGAAAAGGAGGGACGGAGTAAGGGAGAAAAGGAAGGCAAAATATGGTGGAATGAGAGGGAGAGGAAATAGGGAGGAGGGAGAAAATGAGAGTAAGGAGGTAGGAAGGGAGAGAAAGGAGAGGAAAATGGAGAGGGAGGGAGGGAGAAAAGGAAAGTAAAACACGGGGAAGGGAGAGAGGGAGAGGATATAGGAGGGAGGGAGGGAAGAAAGGAGAAAAGGAGAGAGGGAAGGTATATATGTATGTGTGTGCATGTATGTGAGTTTGTGTGTGTGTGTGTTTGTGAATGTGTGTGTGTGTGTATATATATGTGTGTGTGTGTGTGGTGTGTGTTGTGTGTGTGTGTGTGTGTGTGTGTGTGTGTGGTGTGTGTGTGTGTGTGTGTGGTGTGTGTGTGTGTGTGTGTGTGTGTGTGTGTGTGTGTGTGTGTGTTCGTGCAGGGCAATTAGGGATAAGAGAGAACAGAGGAAAGGGGACAACGAGAAAAAAAAAAGCCTCCTTTTGGTCGGCGGCGTCGATCGGCCGAGCCAAACGCTTCGCCATCAAATTCATTTTGGTAACACTACCTCCGTCTGACTTTGTTAACTTAGCGGCTTAATTCACTCAAGTTTTTCTTTTTTTCTCCTTCTTTAGGCTTTTTTCCCCTTTCTTTGAGCTTTTTTTTTTTTTTTTTTGCTTCTCTCTCTCTATCAGTTTCTCATCTCTTTATCTCTCCCTCCTCTATTTCTCTTTCTCTCTTTCTCCCCCCCCTCTCTCTATCTATCTCTCTCCCTCAATTCCCCCCCCCCCCCCTCTCTCTCTCAACCGGTGGATTATCATGTGCTTTTTCGCCTTTTCCTCCAATGAAAATTCTCTCACTCTCTTTCTCTCTCTCTCTCTCTCTCTCTCTCTCTCTATCTCTCTCTCTCTCTCTCCTTCTCTCTCTCTCTCTTTCTCTCTCTCTATCAATCCTCTCCCCCCCCCTTCTCTCTCCCTCTCTCTCTCTCACCGGTGGATTATCACCATCTGCTTTTTCGCCTTTTCCTCCAATGAAAATTCTTGACGCCAAACTCATTAGCTGTTTTAATGGGGCGGTTGGCATATTGCTGTCGTAAAGCCCCGTTATAGTTGCTCTTTAAGATTGCCTTGTATCGTGTGGCTTTAATGGTCTGAATGAGCGTGCTGTAGACTATTATTACTGTGATGTTAAGAAGGATGGAAGGAAGCGATAGTAATGGTAACAGTAGCAATGGTAAAGGTATTGATAATGGTGGTTATGGTAGCGATGGTGATGGTAAGGGCGCTATTTGTAGATGAAGAGGTGACTACAGCAAAATGAGAAACAATGTGAATGATAACAATGATAATAATAGTAAAAATAGTAATAATGATAACTATGATAACAATGATGATAATAAAGATAATGACACTACCAGCAGAACTGCTATTAAAAGTAATAATAATGATGACGATAATGATAACAATATTAACAATCATAGTAATCGTAATAATGATACTGTTACTACTAATGATAGTAATAAAATTGGTAATAATATTGATTATGATGACAATAATGATAACAACAACAAAAAGTAATAGAAACAATAATGAAAGTAATAGCAATGATAATGATAATAAAAACAATGATAACAATAATGTTAGCAATCACAGTTGTCATTAAAATTATAATATTCATTTGCATCCACACTGATTCACGTGACTGACCTCAGCCGTGGATTCAGTGTCCCCGCCACCGCTTCACTTCCTTGTCTGTTCGTGTGTGAGGGAAAGAGATTGAAATACCGTATATTCAGAAAAGGGAGAAAATATGTACGATGAATGAGTCTGTACTCTTTAAAAGCAAGTTGAATAGATGAGAAAAAGGGGGAAAAGGATATTCAATTTTATCGGTTTTGAATGGACTGGCCAAACTTAAAAATCGCTTTTTTGGAGAGAGAGGGGAAAGAGGGTGGTGAAGGAAGGGGGGGGGGTATGGGAGGATGGGAAGTCGTACTTTCAAAGGCCGAATTTTTCCACAGCCTCCCCCCCCCTCTACTCTGCCTCTTCACTCCCTCCTTCCCACTTTATCATTTTTCTCATCTCCCTTTTCCTGCCCCCACCCCTACGCCCTACTTCCATCTCTCTCTTCCTTCTCTTCCATCTTCCCCTTCTGCTCCCCTCCCCTCCCCCTGCTCCCCCTTCCCTTCCCCTACCTCTCATCAACCCCTGCCTTTCCTACTCACCCTCCTTCTTACCCCCCTCTCCTCCCCCTGCCCCCCTTCTCCCCCCCTCTTCCTCCTCCAATCCCCTTTCCCCATCTCCTGCTACTCCCCTCTTCCTCTTCCAATCCCCCCTTTCCCCATCTCCTGCCTCCTCCCCCTACTCCCCTCCCCCTTCTTCTTCTTCCAATCCCCAACCCCTTCCCCATCTCCTGCCTCCTCCCCCTCCCCCTCTACTCCCTCCGCGCTTGTGAAAATGTCAAAATGTTTGAACAGCCCTTCAGGTGTGTATGAATAAGGTAATTAATTCTGAAGGCAGATAGCAAATCCTTGTTGGTATTCAGGTAAATGTTTTCCGTTTAACGAAAGAATAACGTCGATGTTAATGATGATAATAAGGTGTATAATTACAGTCTTTCTGCACCGGAATTTTTTTCAAAGGCTCGCGAGGATAAGATTCCAAAACGATTGTCTTTCTCTCTCGTGGTCAATAATGAATGATAGATCGGCATGTGAATAGATCAATACTCTCATTCTCTCTCTCCATTTATTCATTCATCTATTTATCTATATGTCTATCTATTTATCTGTCTGATTGTCTGTTAGTCTGTCTCTCAATCTCTCTCTCTTTCTCTGTTTATTCATTCATCTATCTATCTATCTATCTGTCTGTTTATCTGTCTATCTGTCTGACTTTCTGTTAGTCTGTCCCTCAATATCTCTCTCTCTCTCTCTTCTCTCTCTCTCTCTCTCTCTCTCTCTCTCTCTCTCTCTCTCTCTCTCTCTCTCTCTCTCTCTCTCTCTCTCTCTTCTCTCTCTCTCTCTCTCTCTCTCATACACACATGCACATATATATATTTACCTATCTATTTTTACTATCTATATATATATACATATATATATATATTATCATACATATAGATATACAAACATATATCTCTAAGCATGTGTACACATCTATATGCATGAATAAACACAAACAAACCAACACAAACAACGAACACTCCTCGCTCCAGTAGGAAACAAACCAGTCCATGAAAGCTATCAACAAAACGCCCCCAAAAAATCATGACAATTACCTGAATACAATGACTAATTACCTGGTTCTCGCGCAGGTGGCCTCGGAGTCAGCTGGGACTGGGGCAAGTGGTGGACCTATGACGGCATCTCGGGTGAGTTGGTCGGCGGCTCGCCTTCTTCGATTTTGGTATTATCATTGTTATTGTTATTATATTAATTATTGTATTGTTATAATAATAATAATAATAATAATAATAATAATAATAATAATAATAATATAATATAATAATAATAATGATAATAATAATAATGATAATAATAATAATGATAATAAATAGATAATGATAATTATAATGATAATATAAAATAATAATAACATAAATAATAATAAGAATCATTCTAATAATATAATTTTCCTTATCATTATATTATCATTATCATTATTACCATTTTAATTTCATCCTCATTATTTTATACTATTTTATTACCATTATCATTATTATAGTGTTTTCTTTGCTTGTTTCTTTTTTCGCTTTTATTTCTTATCTTTCCTTGCTCTGCTTGCTTTGATTCACTTTTATCATTCTTTTTGTTTCTGCCATTCTTTTTTCTTTTTATATTTCCGTTCTTGGTTTGTTTTGTTTTCTTTTTATAATTTTTTTTTTCTTTTCTTGATTTGTTTCCTGTTTCGCTTTTTTCTTGGCTTGTTTTGTTTAGTTTTTTCCCCTTCTCTCCTAATTTCTTTTAAAGTTCCAATATGTTTTTGTTAACCTTTTACCTATATTACTTCCATCATGACTCTTCATTATCCATATGTTCTTCTTATTGTCAACAAAATGACAATGAATAAAGAAAACAAGATCAAATTCAAATTAAAAAACAATGAATAATGAAAAAAAAAGAATTCAAAGTGACATGCAAATCACACGAACAAGACCTGCTGTAAATACCTTGCCAAATATTCCTCTTCCAAGGGGCTGCCATTTCCCCTTCCAGGTCCTCCTCATGCTTAAACAGACAGACTTTATTTATTCCCCGCAGGTCCTCAGTTCTGGGGCCTCATCAACCCGGAATGGTCGCTTTGTACCCACGGCCGCAGACAGTCCCCCGTCAACTTGGACCCCGCTATTCTGCTCTTTGACCCCAACCTCAGACCCCTTCATGTGGACAAGCACAGGGTAAGTGGAGATTTTTCGGTTGTAGGGGAAGGGGAGGGGGAGGAGGGAGGGGAGAGGGAGGGAGGAGGGAGTAGGTGTTGGGGAGAAGGGAGGGGGAGGTGTTTAGGGAAGAGGGAAAGGGGAGGAGGGAGGGGGTGTTGGGGAGGACGGAGGGGGAGGTGCTGGGGAAGAGGGAAGGAGAGGCAGAAAGGAAGGGAAGGGGGATATGTTGGGTATGCTGGAAAGAGGAGAATGGACGGGTAGATGTTACTTATGGAGATGGGAATGGAAGAGGAAGAATAAATTGATTAAGGGAAGGGAAGAGAGAGAGGGGCAGATGTTACTTAACGTGGAAGGAGATAAACATCGTGGGGGTCTTACTTTAAACTCATTTTATTTCTCTTATTATCATTCCTCTATTTGTCACGATCTACATTACTAGACTGAAAAGAACGGATAACCATTTTTCTAACCACAAACCTAGAAACAAAGAACAGAAAGAACAAGAAGAAAAAAAAAAAAAAAAAAAAAAGTCAAAAGTTAACGAATGCTTCATGTGAAAGCAAATGGACCTCCAAGATGGCGCCGGACCTCCTGCTTGATGGAGGGAAAATTGTAAGTCTCGGGGAAAACAGAAGCAGACAGACATTTCCTAAATTTAAAACTAGAAGGGGAGGAGGCAGTCGCAGGATTACCAATTCGAGGGTTGATAAATTTCCACACAATACTTATTCGCGAAAGACCTCTGGCGGGAGTTGTTTTTTTGCGTGCATGTTGTTTGGGTGGTAATGTGTGCGTTTGTGTGTGTGTTTGTGTGTCTGACTGTTTGCGTATGTGTGTGTAATTATATGCTTGTTCGTATATGTGTGTGTTAATTTGTTTGTTTGCGTGTGTATGTGCTTATGTGTGTCAGAGCGAGCGTGCGTGTGTGTGCGTGCGGGCGTATGTTTGTTTGTGTGTGTGTTTGAATGTGTATGTGCGCATGTATGTGTTTCTGAATATTTTATGTGTTTGTTCCGTGTATGAATGCAGCCGTCATTTCATATGGTAGACACACCTCTAACTCCATCACTGTAATCCAGTCAAGAGAGAGAAAAAAAATCCCCAAAGTTTTTTTCATTGTTTCATAGTTCCCAGTTAATCTTGTAACTAGGCTTTAGGAGATGGTGTGGGCTAGAGAGAGAGAGAGAGAGAGAGAGAGAGAGAGAGAGAGAGAGGAGAGAGAGAGAGAGAGAGAGAGAGAAGAGAGAGAGAGAGAGAAGAGAGAGAAAGAGAGAGAGAGAGAGAGAAGAGAGAGAGGAGAGAGAGAGAGAGAGAGAGAGAGAGAGAGAGAGAGAAGATAGAGATAGATAGAGAGAGAGAGAGAGAGAGAGAGAGAGAGAGAGAGAGAGAGAGAGAGAGAGAGAGAGAGAGAGAGAGAGAGAGAGAGAGAGAGAGAGAGAGAAAGAGAAAGAAAGAGAGAGAGAAAGAGAGAGAAAGAAGAGAGAGAGAAAGAGAAAGAGAGAGAGAGAAAGAGAAGAGAGAGAGAGAGAGAGATGAGAGAGAGAGAAGAGAGAGAGAGAAGAGAGGAGAGAGAGAAAGAGAGAGAGAAAGAGCGAAAGAGAGAGAGAGAGATAGAGAGAGAGAGAGAGAAGAGAGAGAGAGAGAGAGAGAGAGAGAGAGAGAGAGAGAGAGAGAGAGAGAGAGAGAGAGAGAGAGAGAGAGAGAGAGAGAGAGAGAGAAGAGAGAGAGAGAGAGAGAGAAGAGAGAGAGAGAGAGAGAGAGAGAGAGAGAGAGAGAGAGAGAGAGAGAGAGAGAGAGAGAGAGAGAGAGAGAGAGAGAAGAGAGAGAAGAGAAAGAGAGAGAAGAGAAAGAGAAAGAAAGAAAGAAGAGAGAAGAGAAAGAGAAAGAGAAGAGAGAGAGAGAGAGAAGAAAAGAGAAAGAGAGAGAGAGAGAGAAGAGAGAGAGAGAAGAAAGAGAGAGAGAGAGAGAGAAAGAGAGAAAGAGAAAGAGAGAAGAAAGAAAGAAAGAGAGAGAGAGAGATAGAGAGAGAGAGAGAGAGGACGAGAGAGAGAGAGAGAGAGAGAGAGAGAGGAGAGAGAAGAGAGAGAGAGAGGAGAGAGAGAGAGAGAGAGAAGAGAAGAAGAGAGAGAAAGAGAGAGAGAGAAAGAGAAAAAGAGGAAGAAAGAAGAGAGAGAGAATGAGAAAAGGAGAAAGAGAAAGAGAAAAAGAGAAAGAGAAGAGAAGAGAGAGCGAGAAAGAGAGAGAGAGAGAGAAAGAGAGAGAGAGAGAGAGATTCCAGGTGTTTCCCAGCTCTGGCTTACTCTATATCCGTCGACATTCAAATTGATTAGACCAGACTCCGGTTTGCTTCGTTCCTTCCGTCGCTGGAGCATGCAAACCCTCGTTACATGGCATGGTGTCTTTACCTATGCCTGTATTCATTTCACACTGTAGCAATATTCGAGTCACCTTCCTGCAGACTCGAAACGCAATCAGGACACACCCACTCCAGATTGAAGGCTACAGAGATAGTCATAGGAGCAAAGTAAGGTGAAATAGGATATTTGTTGATTAAAGATTAGAAAATGTATTAACGAATACGTAACGTAGCTAGAGGAAAGGACTAAAGCGAATAGAGGTATGAGAAAGTAACGTTTGCCAGAAAAAAAATCTTTCTTGTATAAGACCGCCATGCCATGTCGTTCAGTGGTCCTGTGATTCGAATATTTTAACAGCAAAGTCACAGAAAGATATCCAAGCTGAATCGATTGAAGCTAAGAAGCAAGCCCAAGAGAAGCCCAAAAACCGGTGCTCGTACGGAAACTTCTCGGGCCCACACTGTCACCGAGCTTTTAGGGTGAACGTACTGTACATAGCGTAATTCTACACGCGAATTAGACAGCGAAAATCCATATACATTAGTGTATAATGCGTGTGTGACTGAATTTGTGTTTTGCTAGTGTTTGTGTGTGTGTTTTTGAGTCCGTGGTTTTGTGCCTCGGTGTACGTGCTTGTGTGATATTATTGTGTGTGTGTTTTAAAGAGCGCATTGGTACTTGCATATATGCCTATATCTACATTATGCCTTTGTATATGTATACCACTTTAAATATGCACATATTTGTGAGCACGAACGTGTTTCAGCATCAAATACACAGGCAGAAAAGTCTCCTTCTGCCAGATACACTTTCTCCGGACAAAAAACAGGGTAATGAAGTCCCTAAAGAAGCGAAAAAGACGCGAAAGGGTTACGTATGCATTGCTGTGTCCGGATAAACAAATCCAGAAGTGGCAGACTGCACACCACGTCTCTTATGAAAGCAGAAGGTATATCTTTTGTGTAAAAAAGCGTAATAACTCAGAGAGGGGGAGGGAGGGAAAGAGAAAGAAAGAGTCTACGAATGAGAGAGAGAGAGAGAGAGAGAGAGAGAGAGAGAGAGAGAGAGAGAGAGAGAGAGAGAGAGAGAGAAGAGAGAGAGAGAAGAGAGAGAGAAAGAAGAGAAGAAAGATAGAGAGATAGATAGATAGATAGAGAGAGAGAGAGAGAGAGAGAGAGAGAGAGAGAGAGAGAGAGAGAGAGAGAGAGAGAGAGAAGACAGAGAGAGGAAAGAGAGACTAGAGACAGATAGACAGAAGATATTCAGAGACAGATAAGATATAAAATGCATATTAGACAATTCTTTTGTGATTTTCGCTGATACAATCATTATCATTATGATGATAATGATTGTGATGAAAATATTTCACTACTCATAGTTTTTTGAATTACAAGTATTAACCGGATACAATTATCTAGGATTAGCAATTATCATTGCAATTATGATAACGACAAAGAGGAAGCTAGTGCAGGTACAATGTCACTGATATCACCACTCATTGTTATTATTGTAACCATTGTTAGTATCATTATTATTATTGATATTTTCATTATCATTGTTATTAATCATTATCATTATCATAAAAGTTATCATGATTATCATCACTATTGTTATTATCATTATTGTCATCATCATCATCATCAGCAGCATCATTATCATTATTATCAATATCAATACTCTTGTTACTAGTACTACTATTACTACTATTATCCTGATCATCATCATTGTTGTCATTATTATCATCATTATCAACATTACTGTTGTTATTATCTATATTATCTATATTATTATTATCATTATTATTGTTATTATGATAGTGATTAACATAAGCATTATCATCATCAGTATTACTATTATCATAATTCTTATCAATAATTACATTACTGTTATGATAATTTTTGTTGTTGTTTTTGATGAAAGTAATGAAAATAATAATGGTAATGATGATAACAATAATAATAATGATAATGATAATAATAGTGATAGTAATAACAACAACAATAATAATGATTATGATGATGATAATAATAACTACGGTAATCGTAGTAATAATAGTAATAATCAGGTTGTTCAAAAGTAGGCGGCACCCGGCGGAAATTCGTTCTCTGTCGGCCTTTCCATCGCCGGGGACTTTTAGCAGGACAAACAAAAAAAAAAAAAAAAAAAAAAAAAAAAAAAAAAAAATCTATTACTTTTACGCTATTCAAAAATCCACCGTCTGTCGGCCTTTCCATCGCCGGGGACTTTTAGCAGGACAATAATAATAAAACAAAAAAAAAATCTATTACTTTAACCCACTATCCTAAAACACTCTCTTCAGATACGCAGGAAATGCATCTGAGAGACTGCATTTTTTTTCAAAATTTTCCCAGGGGGAGGGACCCCGGACCCCCTGAACCCCTAAAGCCTCGTGACGTCGACGGAAATTGCTCGACACAGGGTATCCCGGCTGCCGGACACTGCTCGGCCCCATATTTGGACCTAGGTAGCCTGCTACTTTGAAAACTTTTGAACACCCTGAATAATGATAATAGTAGAAGTAGTAGTAGTAATAATAATGATAATAATGACAATAATGATAGTAGTAATGATAAATTAATAGTAATGATAATGATTATGATATGATAATAATGATATATATAATGATAATGATAATGATAA